CCCAGATGTACCCCATAAAATTTCGGTCAAGATAGCTAATGAATCTCAAAATCACCCAAGGGTGGAGTTACGTTCCTTTGTCCATTCATCAGTGAAAAGCGAACTGCTAGAGTTCTCGAACTGTTCCCTGTAAGTACATTTTCTTCATAGCTATGGTGTTTTTTGCCATCGGAATAATTGTTGAAAGGAACACTATGTTAAAGGAAGAGTTTGCTCAGTATTTTTTTTTTATAAAATATCAAATTAATGAAGTCTTTAAATGCTCTACTTTCATATGTAGACTGCCATCTTCCTTATGTTTATACTTTGCCAAAGAAAATACCCAAATCATTGTCTTTAAAAACTAATTTTGTTTTTAATTACTTGCACTACTGGCAGTTTGATAAACTTTTAATATCTAGTATCTTTCTCATTTTATAGGAAAATACTCCACCTGCTGAAGCTCAGCCAAAACCCACAGATGCACCCCGGTTGATTGGAATTGGCTCTCAGTCTGATGGCACACTTTCTCTGAGCGGCTTCATTGACTCTGAACCTGTCTTTAGTGAAGAAAACCCTTTCAGAGCTATGCTCCTACTACTTGCGCTGTATTTTGTGGTTGACATTAGATGGCCTCCACTTCTTCGCCTCCCTTTAATTTTCTTAACATGTGCCATTGGTTGCTTAAAAAAAGTCAGGAGCGATGTAGTTAAGAATCAAAAGCTTGTCACATTCCTACGTCAAATGAATGCCTATGATTAGGGTGATGTACATTTTGTTAACAATCCATTTGCTCCCCCTGTTCTTTGATTTCTATATCTTGACTTTTATATCTTAACATTTCTATTAGAGAAAATCTAATGTAATGTTGAATTTTATTTTATTTTATTTGAAGGTCACTGGTTTGAATTACCTGTCTTGTTCATTATATCGTAACATTTCTATTAGAGAAAATCTAATGTTGTAATGTTGAAGAGAATTTTGTTTTATTTGAAGGTTTACTGGTTTTAATTAGCCTACCTGTCTTGTTCAGTACGTGGTATTTATTTTGAAAATAAAACAGTCTTGTTCTTATGAAACCTGCATTCATTTCCTGCTCTTCCTTTGCTCCAAATGCAATGCAAACATTGGAGCCCAACATTGAGGAAGGTTACAGCAAGAAGTAGAAGCAACCTATTCCGCATCAAGCAGAATTAATTTGAAGTTCTTATAACTCTTTATTACCCCGACATTGCAAACTTTGTATGGATTTGTTTGTGTTAAAGGAAACAATGAAAATTTATCTCAACATCTTTATTATACTTTTCTGGTCAACAAGGGATGTCACAGAAACAAAGACCTTTAAATATTCACCACAAAAGTAGATATAAATCTCTTGCTTAATGCTCTCTTGGCCTCAAAAAACCTATAAAACAAATAAAAAGATATGTAAAAGTGTTCGAAAAGACATGGTAAATGCACAAGATTAAGAATAAGAAAAGCGATAGTTGCTCACCTTCCAGTAAGCAGCATTTATGAAAACCACTTTCAGTTAACAATCTTCAGGTTAAATATGGCACGATTCATTCTAGGTGGAATATAGACGTGAAGTATGAAGTCTACATAGAAAATTGAGAAAGAAACAATTTCAAGTTTTACAGTAGAAATGTCAAATTACTAAATTTTTAGCAAAGAAAATT